CCCTCTCCTTGCAGCCTTTTCCACTGGAAAAGCACATGGGAACTTCATAGGTCTAAATGCTGCTTTCTCATTGGTTTTGGGTCAAACAGAATGAAAAAGAAACAAGGGCTGAAAAATAAAAGGAATAAATGAAACCATGACTGCATGGGAAACAAATTAACTGGATATGTTTTACGTTCTGAAATATTTCCATAATGCTTCTATGTAGTGTGTGTTTATTTTTCTTTGAATAATAATGTTAAAAATGTGTCTAATTCAATTACTCTCTGCATTCCCTGAATGAGTTTTCCTTGGTGAAGAGTTCTCCTACACTACCCCAAGCTACGAATTCCATATGATATTTGAACAGGTCCTTTTAATTGCTGATATTAAGTGTCGATCATTCTGCTGTAAGTTGGCAGCGTGGCCAGAGAAACAAATTCCTCTCTCAGATACATCAGACAGTCATTCAATTAACGACCAAAGCTTTATTGACACAGTAGGAATTCATTATGTGAAATATTAAAAAAAGCCCTCCACTGACGAGTTAAAAAAAAAGAGAAAGAGACTTTTAAAGATGGTGGATTAGCTACATGTAGTTATTAAAATTATTCGTGCAGAATTTGAAATTATAGTTATGGTTGAAACATTTTTCTCAGAGGCATAAGCAGCATTTCTGTTGAAAAATAAGTTGGAGTTTGAAAAGATGAATATAATGTACGCATCCTTATTTCCATAGACATTGTGCATTTTCTTGATTAAAAGCCTTAGATTTTATGAGTTATGGCTTTAGACTTGCTGCATAAAGAGCTTCATGGCTTATTCTGTTAGAGTCTAATTTGAAAGAAAGTTCTTCCTCAAGGGTTTAAGAAGTAATTCATAAAATGGTAAGAATAATAAATATTGTGCCTTAACTCATACACTAGGATAGATAGACAGATTTTGTACACCTGGGTGTAATTTTAGTTAATTCACACAAGAGACAGGCTGAAAGTTTATTGTTTGGAAGGAGAAAAATGGCTTAAATCTTGTATTTGCAAAAATGATTATATTAGCTTAAATGAAAATGCTACTCTATTAACGGCTTCAATAAGCTTTGCATTTGGAAAAGTATTTTAATAAAAAGTTACCTGAAGTTTACTGCAACTTAAAATATGTAAGTGAGGGAAAAGTACTTACTTTGATTTATATGTCTTTTGGAGGTGTAATTATTGGCTTTTTACTCACCTATGTAAAACAATGTACTTTTGTAAATGGATTTCTGGCCACTTTACTCCTTTTTTTTTTCTCACATAAAAAGTAAGCACTGTCAATCAAAGAATTTTAAGGTTTATTTCCTCTTTAGAAATGATTGATAGCCTTTTAGATTTACAAGTTGACAAGTTAAAGGGTTCTATCGGTATAATTATGTACTAAATTCACAGTCTTTCAATTTAAATGTCCTTTTAGAACCACAAGATTATCATACCTGTATTTTGAAAAGTGGGCCAGTCAGTTTGGGTTGGTATACAAATTGCTTCCATTAGCCTTGGGACCTATTTGAATTTAATACAGTTTTTTAAAGTTAGTAGTACTTTCAATAGTACTTTTAAAATTTAGGGTAATGGGAATGCATTTTAAGTACAGTATGTGTTAGCTTGTTTTTAATGTATGGATGTCAAGAACACAAATAGAGAGTTTGTATTTCTTATTGATTCTTCTTTTCCAATCATGGAAAAAAAAACCCTAACGTTCTTTGAATTAGAGCATTGGGAAATGCGTTATTGTGAATGGACTTCAAAGGCAGAGGCCAGGCTCGCACGTACTGGGGGCAGAGGCAAAACCCTGCACGAGGCTGGTATCTGACCTTGTACATTAGGTGCCACGAAGGGTGGCCTGAGCGCTGGCTCTTCTGCAGTGCTTGGAGATCAGAATATCACCTTTTCTTTGGAGTTTTGCCAGGTACTGACACAGGAACTGGTGTGGCCTTAACACTGAAGGTGGGGTTAAATATTTAAACAGGGCTCTTTCTTTGAGATATGACTAATTACATTTGACTTGGATTATAAATGAACTGAGAAACATAGGGCTGATATCATCCAATCTGTGGTTAGATGTTCAGGCAGCTAAAGATTTCTTTTTTTTTTCATTTTATCTAAGACTGAAAGGGTTGAATGGTTATAGACTAATGAGTGATATTTGACAACTACAGTTTAGGACCCAATCTTGAAAATTGCTGTGTGCAGCCTCTCCCCACCACTAAAGTAAAGCTGAAGCTATTTGAAGCAGAAAGTTTTCAGTATCTCTCAGAGGATGCTTGATGCCTTGTGAGATTGGACCATGAAATTAACATTTTTTTTGGTCATTTAGTTCAGAAAATACTCACAGGAAATACTCTGTGGATTTCAAATGTGTTGAATGTGTGGGAAGATATGAGAAAATGACTTCTATCTCTGGGGGGATTTCAGAACTGGCCTCCATTTATAATATTGCAGAATTTAGTAACTACTTTCCCAAAGGATGTAAAGGGAAAATGGCCATAAACTAGACTGAATTAGAGAAGAAACACATTTGACAGAACCACGCTAAAATCTTCTAACATATTTGCAAAAGAAATGTAAATTAGAACTGTAGGGGTTTTTTTAATCTTCTTGGAGAACAGCTATTTTTGATAATAAATATAAATAGCAGGAAATTAATTTATTGTAAAATTTGAAGAAGGTCTAAACTAAATGGGTCCATGATAAGAAGGCATGTAAGCAAACTCAAAGGTAATGAAACTGGGGGTTTACAAACCCAGGTACTGGGATATTATCTGCAAAACTACACAACAGAGTGGACAGCATGTGGCCAGCATGTGAAAGAAAATGTGGGGAAAAAAGGCCCAACCATTCAAAAACCAAAAAGGGCACAAGCAGGGGAAAAGCCTTATTCTCACCCCTTCCATCTAATTACCTGAATATAAATAAAAGATCAAATTCAGATATTCCTGATAAAGGGAAATGCATGAAAAAAAACCCGAGGAGACTAGAGGGATGCCATGATCTCTGGGACAATAAAAAACTTCTGATAATAGCCCAGAAAGTAAAATCCTGAAAGATTTCTAGTCTGGAGTTACCATAATACTGTAGCAGTAATTTAAGGATATGCTCAGAAGATTCCTTTCTGATATTAGAGAAATGTTGAGATTCTGTGGGACTGTGTGCCTCTCCAGCAGGTCCCCACCAGCCACGCACTTGTGTTTCCCTGCTGTCGGGTAGCTCTGGATTTTC